AGACACAGAGAGATTGCTGTTTTGCCTAATTTAATGGAACAAATATATAGAAAGCCAAAATATGTCTCAAATCAAAAACAAGAACAAAACCTCCTCAAAAGAACTAAATGAAACAAGACAAGCAATCTCCCAGATAGAGTTCAAAACACTGGATGTGAGGATGGTCAATGAACTCCGTAGAAGAATAGACTAACTCAGTGAGTACTTCAACAAAGAGATAAAAAATATAAAACAGAACCACTTAGAACTGAAAAATACAATAACTGAAATGGCATCAATAACACATTAGCTGATAGCAAAGAATGAATCAGTGAGCTGAAAGACAAGGTAGTGGAAATCACCCACTCGTAACAGAAAAAAAGATTTTAAAAATGAGGATAGCTTATGGGACACCTGGGACAACATTAAACATAACAACATTCAAATCATAGGTGTGCCAGAAGGAGAAGAGTGAGAGAAAGTGACAGAAAACCTATTTAAAGAATTAATCGTGGAGACAAGTGAAACCTTGTGCACTGTTGATGGGATTGTAAATTAGTGTAGCCATTATGAAAAACAGTGGAGTTCCACAAAAATTAGAAATGGAATACTATACACAACCCAGCAATTCCACTTCTGGGTACTTACCTAAAGAATATGAAAACAATAATTCCAGAAGATATATTCATCCCTATGTGAATTCAGCGTTGTTTACAACAGCCAAGATTTGGAAGCACCCTAGGTGTCCATTGATAGATTAATGGACAAAGAAGTGGTGCATATACACAATGGAATATTACTCAGCCATAAAGAAGAGTGAAATCTTCCTATTTTCAACAACATGGATGGACCTAGATTATTTTGTTAAGTGAAAATATTGGACAGAGAAAGAAATATCATATGATTTCACTTATATGTGGAATCTAAAAAACAAAACAAATGAATAAAAGAAATGAGACAGAAACGAACGCACAGATAACGGAGAACAAGCTGATAGTCTCCAAAGTGAAGGGATTGGGGGTTGGGTGGAAAACGGGATGTGGATTAAAAAGTACAAACTTCTGTTTATAAAATAAGTTATGGTGAGCTGTAATTTACAGCTTAGAAATGGGGTCAATAATATAATCATGTACAGTGACAGATGGTTACTAGACTTACTGTATTGATTACTTTGTAGGGCTTATAAATGTTGAAACACTATGTTATACACCTGAATCTAACATAATATTGTATGTCAACTATAATTAAAATGAAATTTCAAAAAGTGTTAAAAAGTTACCTCTAAAAAGTAAAATGCACTGAACAAAATGCCTCTTTACTGTGATGCTATTATTTTTTAAAATATATTTTTGTTGATTTCAGAGAGGAAAGGAGAGGGAAAGAGAGACAGAAATATCAATGATGAGAGGGAATCATTGATTGGCTGCCTCCTGCATGCCCTTACTGGGGATGAAGTCCACAACCCAGGCATGTGCCCTTGACTGGAATCGGACCCGTGACCCTTCAGTCCGCAGGCCGACGCTCTATCCACTGAGCCAAGCTGGCTAGAGCTGTAATACTATTATTATTGGGGCGGGGGGAGGAAGTTAGGCAGCAACTACTGAGGACTTTCTCCCTCTTTTACTATTAGATAGTAAATAGTTACTAGTACCTTCTTCCTTCACAATACTCTCAATTACCACACACACACACACACACACACACACAGATGTACACATAACATGCATACTCACATTTTTTTTTCATACTCCCATTCTTATAAGGAATATAGCATTAGAGTACACAGGGATGGTAAGGACAATTTTAAAGTTTGTTAACTTTAAAAAAAAAGTCCTGTAGTCTAGTAAGGGCAGTGAGGGCATGTGAAAAATCAAACTGCTCTGCTCACTTAACCTTTTGTCCTGGTAAAGGACCTCATATGCTCCAGGAAAGATGTGGCTTTTAAATCTATGTCTGCACAGAAGCCCCAAATGGGCTAGCAGCTTCCCTGATGGACATAATATAGTTAGACAGGAGAAACTGACCTCAGTGATGAGCTTTACCCTTTGAAAATCTGCAAACCAAAGTTAATGGAGGTTTGTTGATAGGAATATGCAAGCATGTACAGAAGAGTAGGTTATCATTAACACAGTAACAATAGCACAGTTCACGGAGATTTGGAGTTAAAATTTACAAAGAACTCTCCACGGAGTTATATTGTAATTCATTCCTCCAAATTTAAAAATCCAAAGGTGTGGCAGTTTGGGATATTTTACTGTTTAGGGTTTACTGAGCTTCCTAGA